TTTGCCAGTAACCCTTACAGAGGTCAATGGTAGTTAGGTAGTTCCCCCTGGCTATGCGATCTAGCAGCTCACTCTGGGCATGGGGTAGGCATCGGTGACAGTTTTGTCATTGAGTTTCCGGTAGTCTACACAGAATCTGGTGGTGCCGTCCTTTTTGGGGACCAGCACCACCGGGGATGCCCAGGGACTATCGGAAGCTTCAATGACCCCTAGTTGCAGCATCTCATCTATTTCCTTTTTCATGCCTGTCCTTACTGCCTCCGGAATTCGGTAGGGCGCCTGTCTCAAAGGGTTTTGGCCGGGGGTATCTACTTGGTGAGTGGTCAGCTCAGTGCACCCTGGCTCTTGGGAGAACATGGCTTGTTTCTCTCGGAGCAGTTTGTGTAGCTGCTCCCTCTCAACTGGGCTAAGTCTGTCCCCGATCTGCACTTGGCTCACTATTTCAACCGGGGAGTTAGGGGTTAATAGGTCGGGTATAGGGAGACTCTCTGCGTCCTCGTGTGCAGGGCTACATATGGCTAACACTTCCTCGGGTCTCTGCAAGTATTCCTTCAACATGTTCACGTGAAATATCTTCCTTAAGTTTTCATTGTGACAGCTGGCAATTACATAAGTGGTGTCTCCTCTCTTCTCTACTATCTGGTAGGGACCCTGCCAGGCTGCTTGTAGCTTGTCTGCCTTAACTGGTTTTAGTACCATGACTTTCTGTCCGAGACAGAAGCTTCTCCGCCGTGCCCCCCGGTCGTACCAGACTTTCTGTCACCCCTGGGCCGCCTGGAGGTTGGCCTGGACTGACTTAGCCAATTGCTCCATTCGGTCCCTGAGCTCTAGTACGTAAGGCACGATGGGGACCCCGGCGTTCTCTGTCTCTCCCTCCCAGTGCTCACGGATCAGGTTCAGGGGACCCCGTACCTTGCAACCGTATAACAGCTCAAAGGAAGAGAACCCGGTGGTTTCCTGGGGCACTTCCCGGTAAGCGAACAGGAGGTGCGGCAGGAAACGTTCCCAGTCCCTATACTCCTGGGTAAAGGTTTTTAACATCTGCTTGAGGGTTCCGTTGAACCGCTCACATAGCCCATTGGTCTGGGGGTGGTACGGGGAGCTAAGAAGGGATTTTATTTTGCAAACGTGCCATAGCTGCTGGGTCAGTTCTGCCGTGAACTGTGATCCCCTGTCGGATAGGATCTCCCTAGGGAATCCTACCCGAGAAAACACCTGCACTAATGCATTAGCCACCGTGTCTGCCTGGATATTGGATAAAGCCACAGCTTCTGGGTAGCGGGTAGCATAGTCCACTATGGTAAGAATGTATCTCTTGCCCGAGGGACTAGGGGTGGCCAGGTGTCAGGAAACAGACAGGGATCCAATACGCAGAGTGCGCACAGAAGGAGGTACGTATACCGGACCTTAGAATGGCCGGACTAACGTAAGGACAAAGCAAGAATAGTCAAAAGGAAAGCCGAGGTCAAGGGAGCCGGAGGACAGGTAAGCGAGATTACAAGCCGAGTCAAAGGAGAGGAGAGGACAACAGGACAAAAGACAAGCAAGGGTCAAAACCAGAAAACACTAGATAAAGAATGCGCTGAGTGACTAGCAAGCTAGAACCACGACAGGGCAATGAGCAGTAGTAAAGGTTTCCTTTAAATACCCTGTACCTAAATAGAGACCACGCCCCCAAAAGGTCCGGAATAGCGGTTCCCGGCACTTTATGCAAATGTCGACGTCATGACGTCGACGCTAGCCGTCACGTCATAAAAGGGGGAGGAGCTAGCGCGGCCGGCGCGAAAACGGCCGAAATATGCCGAAATGCTAGGGGAAGGGAGCCCCTAAGCAGAGAGGATGTCCTCCCTGAATACATCACCAACAGGTACCCTGACAGTACCCCCCCTTCTAGAAACGCCCACCGGGCGGATGGGACCTGGCTTAGAAGGAAAACGAACGTGGAAGGCCCGTAGAAGACGAGGAGCATGCACGTCTATACCAGGAACCCAAGACCTCTCTTCTGGACCATAACCTTTCCAGTCTATGAGGTATTGCAGCTTCCCCCTAGAAATACGAGAATCAAGGATGGACTTGATGATATATTCCTCTAAAACTAAGTTTTCCTTGGTGGATAGAGGGTATACCGTACCCCTGGGAGGCATAGTACCAGGGAAAAGTTTAATAGAACAGTCATAAGACCGGTGGGGAGGTAAAGTATCCGCCTTACCCTTGTCAAATACAGATTTGAGGTCTAGATATTGTAATGGTATCTGAACGTCTGTGGATTGAGAAGTGTTAGCATAAGAGTTCACGGGACAAACAGAAGTAACTCTCTGCAGACATTCTTTCCTACAACCCATACCCCAAGAAACGATTTCTCCACCCTCCCAGTCAATCTGAGGGTTGTGTCTCTTGAGCCAAGAATATCCTAGAACCACTGGGACTGCCGGGGAGGAAATTAACAGAAGGGAAATCAACTCTTCGTGGAAAATACCAACAGTAAGCTTAACGGGTTCGGTCTCATGGAATATTACTGGTTCAGATAAAGGTCTACCATCTATGGCCTCAACGGCCAAGGGTGTATCTCTCAATTGGAATGGGATACAATGCATATTAGCGAAAGTTTGGTCTATAAAGCTTTCTGCTGCTCCAGAATCTAATAATGCCATCGTAGTAATAAACCCCTTTTCCCAAGCTAGAGAGACAGGAATCAGAAGCCTATGGTCTTTTTTATTATGCATAGAGGACAGTAATGAAACACCCAAGGCCCGTCCTCTAAGGGAACTTAGGTGCGAGCGTTTCCCGGACGATTAGGGCAACTGAGACGTAGGTGACCTCTCAGCCCGCAGTATAAACAGAGACCCTCCCTTCTTCTGTACTGTCTCTCAGCCTCAGATAAGCGAGTATTACCTATTTGCATAGGTTCTGGTGGAGTAGGATTATAGGAGTCAGGGTTCTGAAATGAGGGAGCGAGTCTTACAGGAAGTCTAGTAACTCTTTCCCGAGTGTTCTGCCTCTGTCTCATGCGTTCATCTATTCTGGAAATGAAGGATACTAAATCCTCTAAATTTTCCGGAAGTTCTCTTGTGGCAATTTCATCTAGAATTTCATCAGACAACCCATTCAAGAAAACATCCATAAAAGCTTGTTCGTTCCATTTCACTTCTGCTGCCAATGATCTAAACTCTAGAGCATATTCTACAAGGGTCCTATCTTGTTGTTTAAGGCGTAACAGGGATCTGGCCGCATTAATCTTCCTCCCTGGGGGGTCAAAGGTTCTTCTAAAAGCCGTGACAAACGCAGTGTAGTTGTAGACTAAAGGATTGTCATTCTCCCAAAGGGGATTGGCCCATCTAAGTGCTTTATCTATTAGCAGGGTTATAATAAAGCCTACCTTAGCCCTGTCAGTGGGGTAAGCCCGGGGTTGTAGTTCGAAATGTATACTTATCTGGTTTAAAAAACCACGACAAGCATCAGGCGAACCCCCATATCGTAATGGTGACGTGACATGGGAAGATGCGCCTACAGTGGCTACTTCCAAACCAGTACTTAGCGAGTGGCTAGCAGTGGAACGTATTTCTTCAGACTGGGTACTGGAGCGTGTCAACAAAGTTTGTAACGCTAAAGCCATTTGGTCCATTCTATGGTCCATGGCCTCAAATCTGGGGTCAGGAGGACTAGCACCTGCAGGATCCATCATGGCCCTGTCGTAATGTCAGGAAACAGACAGGGATCCAATACGCAGAGTGCGCACAGAAGGAGGTACGTATACCGGACCTTAGAATGGCCGGACTAACGTAAGGACAAAGCAAGAATAGTCAAAAGGAAAGCCGAGGTCAAGGGAGCCGGAGGACAGGTAAGCGAGATTACAAGCCGAGTCAAAGGAGAGGAGAGGACAACAGGACAAAAGACAAGCAAGGGTCAAAACCAGAAAACACTAGATAAAGAACGCGCTGAGTGACTAGCAAGCTAGAACCACGACAGGGCAATGAGCAGTAGTAAAGGTTTCCTTTAAATACCCTGTACCTAAATAGAGACCACGCCCCCAAAAGGTCCGGAATAGCGGTTCCCGGCACTTTATGCAAATGCCGACGTCATGACGTCGACGCTAGCCGTCACGTCATAAAAGGGGGAGGAGCTAGCGCGGCCGGCGCGAAAACGGCCGAAATATGCCGAAATGCTAGGGGAAGGGAGCCCCTAAGCAGAGAGGATGTCCTCCCTGGATACATCACCAACAGGTACCCTGACACCAGGGGCCCAACTAAGTCAATGGGTACCCGGCTAAACGGCTCGTCAATAATGGGCATGTTAACGAGGTGTGCCTTGGGGTGGTCTCCTCGTTTGCCTACCTGTTGGCACACCTCACACGTATTACAATAGGACCTCACATCTGCATGTACTCCTGGCCAGAACAAGGTATGGGTAATACAGTGCAGGGTACGGGTTACTGCCAAGTAACTGCCAAGGGTACGGGTTACTGCCAAGTATGGGCATGTTAACGAGGTGTGCCTTGGGGTGGTCTCCTCGTTTGCCTACCTGTTGGCACACCTCACACGTATTACAATAGGACCTCACATCTGCATGTACTCCTGGCCAGAACAAGGTATGGGTAATACAGTGCAGGGTACGGGTTACTGCCAAGTGCCCGGCTAAGGGAATATCATGACCCACCCGGAGGATATCTCGCCTATACTTGTGGGGTATTACTAACTGTCTCCTCCGGTGGCCCTTTTTCTCGGTGTGTCGGTACAGTCGGCCCTGTTCCCACGCAAAAGTCTCCTGGTCTGATCCCCCAGTCCCTGTATCAGCCCTTTCTCTATATTTTTGGAGCGTCGGGTCAGTTTTGGTCTCAGCCTCAAAGGCTGCAGGGGTGTCCCAGGGCAACGGGGTAGGAGGGGGGGTCACAGTCGGGTTAAGTCTTACCTGAGCCTCCCGCACTGGTGAAGGGTCTCGTACTCGTCCAGCTTGTGACCGGGTCGTCACAGGATGTGCCTCAGCGTTGTAGGAAGGGGCATAAGCGGAAGTCATAGGTCCCAGGTCGTTTCCCAGCAAAACTTCGGCTGGCAAATTATCCATAATTCCCACCCTCACAAGTCCTTTTCCCACACCCCAATCCAAGTGTACCTTTGCTGTGGGTAGTTTGTATATGTCCCCTCCAGCCACCCGGACAGCCACTGTGTCAGGAGAGCGTTTGTAGTCGGGGACTAACCGGCTTTGTACCAAGGTGATCGTGGCCCCGGTATCTCTTAACCCCTGTGTGGGACGACCCTCTAGCAGTACCTCTTGCCGGTGGTGTTGTCTATTGTCACTGGCGGGATACACAGGATTAGCTTCATGTAGGGTCCCAGGTATTCTTCTAAAGGACTGTCTTGTTCCAGACAAAACGCTCGAGCTGGACGATTGTTTCCCGTTGGAGCGGAATTATAGTTCCGTGCGGGGTAATTGTTGTTGAGGGGGCAACTCGCTATCAGGTGCCCCGGTTGCTTGCACTTATAACATGTGGGTCGGGAGCGTTCCTGAGGGTAGTGGCTGGGTGGTCCCGGGTACCGTGTTGGACCTGCGGGTACAGGGTTGCGAAACTCCGTTCGTGGAGTTGTTCGGTATCCCTCTCTTGCTTCGGGGCGAGTTACCGTTCGGGCATTGTTGAACTCCTGTACTTGCGCATCCCGGTGTTCGTCTGCCAACCGTGCTGCTTCGTGTAGGTTAGCGGGACGCCGGTCTTTCAACCACTCCCGGTCTTTTTGTTCCAGACCCTCTAATAAGAAAAGTTCCAATATTTCCGCGGCCGTGACGGCCCGACACCCGGTAATCCAATGGGTAGCAGCTCTCCGCATACGGTGTGCCCATTCGGCATGTGTGTCATTCGCTTTTTTCTTCGTGCTGCGGAACTGCCTTCGGTAGGTGTCTGGGGTCACAGCGTACCGTTTCAGCAGCGTCTCTTTTACTGTGGTGTATTGGGCTACCTCTTCGGCGCTGAGGGTTCGGAAGGCTTCCATGGCCCGCCCGGTTAATTTTCCTGCCAGGATACGCGGCCACGCGGCGACGGGGATCTGATGCAGGGCACATTGTCTTTCAAAATCGGCCAAAAATTTGTCTATCCCCATCTCATTCTCCGCGAACGGCTTGAATGCCGCGAACGGAATCTTTGGCTGTTCGGCAGTTTCTAGGGGGCCGTTGTGGCTATCAGCGGTCTTCATGCTCAGCTCGTGGGCTCTAGTCCGCTGTACGTCCGCCTCCGCTTCTGCCATTAGTTGCTGTATCAGCTCCACGGATGGGTTCGGTCCGTACAGAGGCAGCCTTTCTCGGACAAGCCTGGTTTTCTCATCGCTGCATGCTGCCGTCGGTTCTGCCATGGTGAAGCTTTGATCCAACTCGTTCAGGTCGGCAATCAATTCTCTCCTCGGCCGGTTACTTGCGTTCCCTCCACGGCTCTCGAGTAAATCCTTTAACGTGGTACGCTTCAGCTTATCGTAGTTACTCTCCATCCGTCCTATATATCTCTTTCAGGAATTCCAGGATGATCCCGCCGCTGCCACCAATTGTTACGATTGCCCCCGGTCTAGCAGGAGGGTTGATCGCTTGGATGTCCTGGTTCCCGCTGCAGAGAGTCGAACGGAGGTCTTTCGGTAGTAAGCTGCAAATGTAGAATATCCCCAAGCACGATATAAGCATCAATATCCCGGATCCCTACAACATGAGTCGAGGCTGCAAGTTGAGGGTCAAAACGAACTGGCTTTACTGGCACATAGCATGGCAATTTATGTGATTCCTCAGGTCCAAGGACAGCCCCCTGTGGACCTGATGGAATACAGGTACAGTACAGACAAATATCCAATCACAGTACAGTGTATTATTTGAATTAGTACCCGCCCAGCTTGGAGATAATGAGGCCAACGGTTATACAATCTAATTATCTCCAAGCGCACAAAAGACCACGTTTTATTATGTCCAAGAAAACTGCATAAAAATCCATAACTTTTACATTAATACATGAAAACCGCTCATTCTACCCTTCATCTGAAGGCTCGCGTTCGTGTATATAAAACAGGCGAATGGCGCTCTAATCCCACGAACAGAATGTACTGTTTCTGCCGTATAAAGTCCGTTCGGCATTTTGAGATTGTTAGTCTTTGTTGGCGGCCATGTTTTCTGCTGGTTTAGCGAGCAGGGGGACTTCGTGTCTAACTCGTGGAACTAAACTCGGTATCAGTCCATGCGAAGTCCCACTGTCTGTCTGGTAGTGGGCTCATTCGGTAAGGGGATGAGGACCACCTGGGAGCAGGGTACTTGACCTGCGGTTAATCGCAGAAACCACAAGTTAACGAGCGCCACGTGACCCGCTGTTGGGGGTCGTCGTTCGGTATTTTCCCTTCGGTACTTTGGGTGCGAACGTCGATGCCCCCATGCCTACCAATTACGTTGTGGTTAACCGCAAACCGCAGACACCTGGGTGGTTAATGGCTGCCACACTCCGAGGGCCGGGTGGTCGACCATTCGGTAGTTTGCGGGGTGACGGGGTTAAGTGGCGGCACACGCCAGTTTCTGGGGTGTCCCCCGTTCGTACCACGAATGGAGCCTTCATAAGGGTTCGCGTAATCCATTCGTGTGGTTTTCTGCTTAACTTATGCAGTGGCAAACAGTATCAATCAGTGAGTTAAAACAGCAACATAGTGATTTCCAGTCTTTTGTAACAGACACTAAGACACAAAGAGATCTTCTACATCAAGTGTACAAGCATATTCGTTGTTACCAGTTTTGTATATATCCAACCGTTCTTCATCATTCCTGGAATTTTAACTATTCGTTATCTCGTATGGTTCTTCAGTTGATCGTGTTGTGGTGGGACCACTGCCTGTTCATGAATTGCCATGTGTTATTCCCCGTGTTTTCCCCTGTGTTGTGTTATATTCCCATGTTTTACCTGTTCACACCAATCAATTAGAACATTGGCAACTTGCAACATAAGTGTGAAACCACCAGGGAAGTAATAAATGAGTGCTTCCCAGGGCGGCTGCCGTTCGTATAGATGAACGGCGGCCAGGGGGAGCATTTGCGTCCCGAAAGGAGACACTTCCCTTGCCTGGTTTCACCCAGAGACCCCATGAGCGGAGGCAGTTACCATTCGGTGGGGTCCCTGAGATTGGTGGGGACACTCTCTTTGTGACAATGTTTAGCAGGCTTTCTGTAGCTGGGAGTCACAGAGGTGGGAAACTTTCCCGCGCTGGGACTCTGAGGTACAGAGGCTCATAGGATAAAGAGCCCCTGGTCCCCAGAGGTGGAAAACCCTGAGGATGGGTGGCGGTAACTGGGGACAAACGGACTAGAGTTCCTGTCACATGCACAGGCCCCTTGGAGGGGGAGGACCCTGAGAGTGGGCATGGAGTGGTGTAAACAGGGGACAAAGCGACTGGAGTTCCGGTTCTGTTATGCGACCCCCGGCAAGGGGAGGACCCTGCACATTGTCATTGTGTGTGATCCAGCTCTTGCATGGGGAAAGTATAAAGCAGAGTGTGGCCAAATAAGTTGTTGTTGTACCCCCAGGACTGTGTATCATCCAGTTACTGGGTGGGAAATGGATCTCTCTGGGTGGCTGAGCAAGGCCAACTGGTCGGGTTGTCTGCAGGCACGCTACACGTGTGACTTGTGATGTCGCCGTTATCAAGAGTAAATTACTCAGTGGAAGGTGTATCTAATACACTCTGCCTGTCTGATTGGTTCCTTTTTTTTTTTCTCTATATGTCTTTGCTGCTATGGAGTAGTAATGGAAGATTAAGCAAAATAGTCACCTCCTGTCATTATTAAAATTACACTAAAGGTAGCATAATCTTTAATTGTCTTCTATTATAGTTAAGGTATAAAATTCAAACATACCTGGAATGAATGAAACAGGTACCAGAGAGCCCAGGCATTTATAACATTGTAATATATACATAGGAAAAATGACACGATTATACTGGCAATTCCTGTAGAAAGAGAAAAGACAATAACAGATTAAGTTGTTTGTTGACTTAAGTCAACATTAATGCCATCATGACAGACTTTTAAATTATTTAAATTTCTTAATGATTGTGGAAATTGTGGTAGTTTGCATAATTTCATACTTCTCTCATTTTGCACCTACACATACCATGGAACACTGTATTTTGTGGCTGACATTTCAAAAAAAATTTATGTATATGTAAACTATCAAGCCCCAATGCTGCTGTAAGAAAGTCAGTGCTCCATCAGCTGATCGTCTGCAATAAGCAAAGCCTGATTTCAAAACTATCAAGCCCCAATACTGCTGTAAGAAATTCAGTGCTCCATCAGCTGATCGTCTGCAATAAGCAAAGGTAGCCTTCTGGAAGACCACACTAAGACTCTATCCGGCACAGCATCATTTATATTTAATGTATCCACCGTGTACATTTATTTTATATCTCCTGTGTACATTGTAAATTTTCTTTCCTTTATATCTTGTCTGTCATGCTAAAGTGTAGTTTTGCTAGCCCTGTATGTAATTGTTATAGATTGAATAGCAGTTAGTTGTCTTCAAGCGGGTGTGTCAGGCCTACAACATGTACTCTGCCAGTTCACAGTGCCACTCATATCTGGTGTCACAATAGCGTGCATTTAAAAACCCAAAAACTTTTTTCACTGTTGTAGATTGAATAGCAGTTAGTTGTTTGCCAGCAGGTGTGTCATGCTCACAGTGGATACTGTGCCCAGTGCCACCACTCACTCACTGGTGTCACAATAGCTTGCATTTAAAAACAAAACTTTTTTCACTGTTATAGATTGAATAGCAGTTAGTTGTCTGCCAGCAGGTGTGTCAGGCTCACAGTGGATACTGTGCCCAGTGCCACCACTCACTCACTGGTGTCACAATAGCTTGCATTTAAAAACAAAAAACTTTTTTCACTGTTATAGATTGAATAGCAGTTAGTTGTCTGCCAGCAGGTGTGTCAGGCTCACAGTGGATACTGTGCCCAGTGCCACCACTCACTCACTGGTGTCACAATAGCTTGCATTTAAAACAAAAAACTTTTTTCACTGTTATAGATTGAATAGCAGTTAGTTGTATCAAAGCGGGTGTGTCAGGCTCACAGTGGATACTGTGCCCAGTGCCACCACTCACTCACTGGTGTCACAATAGCTTGCATTTAAAACAAAAAACTTTTTTCACTGTTATAGATTGAATAGCAGTTAGTTGTCTCAAAGCGGGTGTGTCAGGCTCACAGTGGATACTGTG